AAAGAAAGGATGCGGAGGAAGCGAAAAACCCCGGTCGACGTGGGTGGCAAGCAGTATGCACTCACCCGGTCAAGGCTGAGGATTCATCTCCCCCTATGGCAACCTTGCCGCTCCCTTGGCGATCAGCCCGAACTCCACCAGCTCGTCCAGATGCTCCTGCCGAATCGAAGACCGGATCCAATCGCCCTGGATCCAGCCAGGCGACAGCCCTACGCGCGATGACGACCTGCGCTGCTGCTTTTTGCCCTTCGCCACCCCCTTCGCCTTCTTTGCTTGATCCAGCGTCGCCATCTTGTCCTTCACCATGGTGGCCGAGCGACAGCATGGAAACATAAGAGTTGGGCACGGCAGAGAAGTGGAGGAAGAAGAAGGAGGAAAAGGCATGCACAGTGCAGACGCCTCGGCCCCGTCACCTTATAAAGGGTCGCTTCTGAGTGAATGACGCGTGGGACCAGGCAATCCTGTCAAATCCCGCAACAGTCGCGCGCAGCGTACGTGGCGAAAAAGGCGGCACGGAAACCGAGGCCTCACTGTTTATCCGCTCCGCCCGTTTCGGCACTCCCCGTCCCGCGTGCTTCCCCGAAATTTCATATCCAGCGAAATCCGGGATACGCAGCAGCTAATCGCGCCCAAGATCCTGCACTTCAATACAACACTCGGCAAACGACGCCACAAGTTCAGTCGACATCTCCCTGAATGGATCAAGGCGACTGAATCGACGCTGAAATACCGACGCGAGTTTTCCATCTTGCAAAAAAACGCTCGCGAAGGCGCGAAACTCAGACCACGTCCAACTCTAACCAGCTTTCTACTCGAACCTTAATCCATTCGGGGGCTACTAATGAAGATACATACCTAGGGTAGGGTCATAGGCCTGACCTATACGTCCTACCCAAGGTCACTACCCAGGAAGGCAAGAAGGTCTATAGGCAACATGAGACCCCCGGTCGAAGATGTCAAGTGCAATCCACTCGACATCATGTGACTCGGGAGTCTTCCTACCTACTGTCACTCGACCATCCAGAGAATCACTCGACCTCTCGAAGACCAGGAGTCACTCAGCATGCAACGGACAAGCATTCACTCCGTAGTCTTTAAGGTCATTAACAACACTTAATGCTGGCGTTACCAGTAATGCCACCACTTTATGTACATTAACTCCCTTGTAATGGAGGGCGGGAAAGGTCCTGGCGAACTCTATATAAGCCACCCTCCTCCTCTGGCACAAGGGTTCGCACCCCCTGTAACATCACATATATAATCTAGTCGACCACCGAGACGTAGGGCTATTACTTCCTCCGAGAAGGGACCGAACTCGTAAACCCCGTGTGTACACCTTCACCATAGCTGAGGTCTTGCCTCTCCATACCTACCCCCCTTTCTACTGTCAGCCTTAGAACCACGACAGTGCTCATCCTCTTTCATTGTATTATCCATGCTAGTTTAATTTATTTTTGTAGCTTTCTTCTTGTGTGTTTGATAAACCTTAAGAAAACCAAAAAAATTAGTCAGTATAATTTCCATGCTTGTAGTAGTAATTAAAAAGAAAACCCAAAACGATTTATCGTTCTTCTTTTGCTAGTTGGGAGCTTTCCCGTGTAAATAGTTTTATTTCTTTTCTTTCCTTTGGGGGTCGAGAGTAGAAGACCTTAATGAAAATGTTTAGTGGCTCTCATATGCATGATTGTTGATTTAACTTAGAGCCCATATTACTTTGTCTTCTCTCTTGAATTGAATGCTTGCAGATTCCAGCTTAGTCCAATGCACGTGCACTATTATTATTACTAGTTGATCCGTTGCGCCAAATGGCGCAGAGACCTGCTGAAGACATGTTGTCGATGAAAATAGTTTCATGCTGCAAGAACCTTCAACTAAAGCCATGTTCGCGATGAAATTAGTTTCATTTACTAAGGATAAGCCATGTATATATAGTCGGTTTAGTTGTGGTCTGCTAAATCCATATGCGCCTTGAAAAAAAACATGGTTTAATATGCAAAGCCCCACGTATTTCAAGTATGAATAAGAACTACGAACTCTTTTTTTTTGCGATTCAAACACATTTCTAGAGTTTTTACATAAGCACTGAATGTTCAACGCCAGAGACGCCCCAAACATTTTTCTCTTCTTCTGCCTCTAATGCGCCCTGATCGATCGCTTTATGAAGATACATATGTTTTGAGCAAGCATGTATGGTAACTATTCCAACCCCTCCATATAAGAAAATTGAACGGAGACTTGTATCAGGGTAACCTATGTTCAAAAAAAAGTGTTGTATGTTCTGGATTTCTGATGATTTTGGTCTTGGAAGACCTGAACAGGCAAACATTGCTAATAACGTGACTCATTTACCAACAAGGGCTTTATTTTATACCAAAGTTTTAGTCAGCTACAGTTCACAATTCGAAAATGGAAATGTAAATATGTATGGTTAATGTGGATGCAACAAAAGAGTTCTTAGAAAAGAAGACTTGGACATGGACAAACTTAGCAAGGTTCAGGAACACAATACAAAGGCATGCAACACTCCCGAACAGTGCATTGTACAGAAGGTATAATGATCTCCAGGATCTGCAAAACTGATCATCCAGAACACTTCATCTGAGTTGAAACACTATCAATCAAGCTTCATAAGATCTATTCAACAACTCATGAAAAAAAGAGAAGACGATGAAACATGTGTTCTGTACACACATGCCTTTCAAAAGAGTTCCCTAAAAAACCGTGGGGGATATGGTCCTTGTAGAAGCCATGGGGGATATGTCCGCACATAGGACAGGGGTCGTGTTCTCCGGCTCCTCCGGTTGCAATCCTATAGAACCAAAAAGGAAAAACAATAAAATTGGGGACATTGCATATATGACGAAATAGAAGTTATTGTTCATTTTTACAATTGATGATTTGGATTCTAATTCATACTCTAACATATGACGGCTATATTCCTGTATTTATATGCTATAAATAAAGTATATAAGATAAGAATGAAACTATGCGTAGAAAGCTGCAAGATCGTCATCCTTGCTAGCAAAAAATATGGCCTTTTCTTCTCACTGAAAGTACATCTCTATAAGAATCGCTAGTTAAGCACAAGTCTAACTAACAATTTATCACAGGAGAAACAACAGAATGCCGACTACACTAAAAAGGAACGCACCTTAACCAAAGCTCTAATCAGCAATAGAAACAAGAGCCTGTCAGTTCCTAGACCCTAGATCCTCGCAACTCATAGACCATGTGGAATAAAGGGCAACCACAGTACGCAAAACAACCTAGAAGAGGTAAAAAATCAGCTGCAGGCAGATCGAAAAGAACATACATTACCACATGTTATGCCTTCACCTAGGCTTAAAACCTGAGAAGAGCATCGTACGAACATACAACTACTTTTAACTTCAAAAGAACCAACTCCATAACACAGATGAACATTAGAGCATCAAGTACCGCCATAATGACCTCACCTAGGCACGAAACAAACAACTTAGTACTCAATCTGGGCAGAGTTGCACATAATGAAAATCCTAAATCATGTTTAAAGGCAATGTTACATGGGTTGACAAAATATATCCACATGCAGTCACATATGCTTTAACTTCCACACCATTTCTACACTATATAAAAAATTGAATACCGTGTGTGCATGGACAGCCACATACAATTTTGTTTCAAGCAAAATCAACACAGAAATATCACTATTTAAGGTATTCATGAAGTTCTCAGTATGTCCGGCAATAGCAACAAATCAACAACAAGTAGTATGGCACCAAAATGTTTGGCAAGTGCCTTCATCAATGTTTCCTAATAAATCTCAGAACCTGATACATAATGAGATGGATACTTATAAGTAATGGTGTTCAAAAAAAGCATGTAATCTGACATGGCTCAAGGACATAAATTTCATTCAACGGAGACAATATGCAATGACAAAAAATAATTTACCTGATGGACTAGATGATAAATTCGCTGGTTTATTGAAGAAACTTCCGAGAACTGCTAAATGAATCCCTTCTTTTCCAAATGTAGGAATGAACATGATAACAGCACATCCTTCGTATTCTTGCTGCATAAATGGACATCAATAAATATATGAATGTATAAATACGTGACAGAACATTAAGTCAAGCATACGAAGAAGTTAAAGAACAACATAAGACGTCAAGCAAATCAAAGGAACATTAAGTCAAAACATCACCTAAGGTAGTAGGGAAAATTCTCAAATGTAACTTCAATATCACTTGGACTAATAATTATGGCCCTTCCATTTAATAGGACCAAGCCCTTGTCTCATATAACCTCTAACTCGCACAGACCTCCTAGCTGAATAAAAATGACAACTGATGATTATTATATACATCAGTTAGCAACTGACAGGGCTCCTGCGCTTCTCGCATCAGAAAATCAACAAGAAAATACAAGGATGTACCTCAACTGCCACAGTTCGCAAGGTATTTTGCGGACAAGTTGGTCTTTCAACAATAGATTGCATCTTTTGTTTTGGCCAATAGAAAACTGAGGGACACAGATAGGGAGATGAGGACTCTGGTTCATAAATAAATATTTAGTTATACAATGATAAAATAAAGAATATTCTCAAGGTCACAATAACACATACTTTAACCAACAAAGATCAACCAGAACCAGTAATGTGACATAATCGGGGCCGAGCGGAGGAGGCCGCATGGGGAGAGAAAGAACGGGTGAATATCACCTCGGTGTATCAGCGTCGGATGCGCTCACCGTCGCTCGACGTGTGCGCAACTCCCCAGACAACTCAGCCAGGTCGAGCCACCGCCATCTATCTTTTCCGCTCCCTCCCTTCCTCCCTCCCTACTAATAAGCAGCAGCCGGCAGGGAGATGTTAGAGGAAGAAGAGGACAAGTCGTCTCAGGCCTTGGTCCTTCCTTCGAGGTGCGCCACAATCCTTGGGCATGCACCGGGTTGGGAAGTACGGGTTGGAGGACGACGTCGGGCGCGGTCGTTCCTCGCTGTAGACCACCTCGGGAAACTTATGGTGTCCAGCCGCTTCCGCTGCTCTCATGCTCACCGCTGCCGCTGTAAGAAGGAGGAAGAGGCGGTGCGCAGGCAGGGGTAGGGAGCTGCCGCCGGGTGAGGGAGGAGGAGCAGGAAGGTCTTGTTTTACCGCTTGGCTCTAGGTTTCCTTTACCAGTTCCCCAATTTGTTACGAACTGTGCGCGGAGGCGCTTTCGCTGCGCGGTGGGACAACAATTGCACCGGGTCCATTGGCAATCACCTACGAAATAAAACAAACGGTGACAAAATCTAGTCAGCCAGGGCCCCCACGCGCACGATGCTTCGGTCAGCCCAGAAAGGACGGGCGTGACCTCTTCCCATAGCAGGCAGCACCTGGCGAACAGAAACAGACCCACCACCACGTCAATGACACGCATCCTAAGAGGGCCATTCGGGACCACCGTCATACAAGCACCAAGCCAGCGGGTGAAAGCCACCCGTGCAAGAGAGGGGCGCGCAGGATCAGTGCACGCGACCTAGAGGTGGGGTCCACAGCGCGGGGATCACACGTCCTGCTGGTCGAGCCGTGCATCAGCCACACCGCACGCCAACAACTCCCTCCAAACCCGGACAGAAAGGCTGGACACAGAACGAATAAACACCACCCGCCGACGCGTAGGACCAGAGAGCATGGTGCCCCACACGTCATCCCGCGCAAAGAACCGACGGGTATATCCTCAGCAGCTAACCGCTGCCTCCACGCCATGGCCCATCCACCGTGCGACGTGCGACGAGGCACGACCGTCCGTGCACAGCCCATCCCGTGTGGGTCCTCGCGCAAGAACACACAATCGCCCACACAAACCCATCCCGTGAGGAGCCGAACCGAGCCAGCGCAGCCGACGAGCGGGGCCAGCAGAAGCACCAGCCCACCCACCAGTGAGACAAGGGCATGCCAGCTGAGTGCGCATGCGTTGGCCAACCCCGTCATCGGCACTGGGCGCGGTCAGCGCCGGAACAGCCACGCGACGAGGCAGGAGTGGTCACCCGACAAATTCAAACCCAGCCAACCAGAGAACTCGCTGAGCCCACCAGTCATCGGGTTCCACGCAGGACTACTGAGTCAAAACAACCAATGAAAATCGAACAGTCACCACATGCACGTTGACCTAACCAGACCCAATCAGACGACCACGCGCGGCGCAAAAATGAGGAGGCCTCAGGAGAGCGGGTCGGCTAGGCTTCTTATATGTTTAAATACACACTGTTCGGTCGTGCAAGTGAAAGGCAATAATGACGACATATGATGGACTGATCGAGATGAGAGAAGCTGGTATGAACTCGACCTCTTTTATTTTTGTAAATATGATGAGTTCATCGTTCCCGATTCAACCTATTATGAGTAAACATGTTTGCAATGACATTTAGAGATTATAGTTACTTATGTCATGCTTAATTAGCTATGAGTTTATAATGGTTTACCTCGCGTGCCAACATGCTATTAAAATGGTTATGATGTTGTATGATGGGATGGTATCCTCCTTTGAATGAATTGAGTGACTCGACTTGGCACATGTTCGCTCATGTAGTTGAAAACAAATCAACATAGCCTTTACGATATTTATGTTCATGGTGGATTATATCCTACTCATGCTTGCACCTGGTGTAGATTAATTTTAATGCATGTTCATGACTATTGTCGCTCTCTCAGTTGGTCGCTCCCCAGTCTTTTGCTATCCTTCACCTGTACTAAGCGAGAATACTGCTTGTGCATCGAAACTCCATAAACCCCAAAGTTATTCCATATGAGTCCATCATACCTTCCTATATGCGGTATCTACCTGCCGTTCCAAGTAAATTTGTATGTGCCAAACTCCAAACCTTCAAATGAAATTATATTTTGTATGCTCGAGCAGCTCATGTTTCAACTAGGGTTGTCTGTATCTTCCATGCTAAGTGGGTTATTCTCAAGAGGAGTGGACTCCGCTCCTCCTTCACGAGAAAATGGCTAGTAACCGGGATGCCCAGTCCCAAGATCAAAAAGATCAAAGCAAATCGAAATAATTAAACAAAACTCTCCCAGGGCTGTTGCTAGTTGGAGGCACTCGTTGTTTCGAGCAAGCCATGGATTGATGCTTGTTGGTGGTGGGGGAGTATAAACTTTTGCCATTCTGTTTGGGAACCGCCTATAATGTATGTAGCATGGAAGATATCGCCATCTCATAGTTGTTGCATTGACAGTGAATGTATACCGCTCAAAATGTTATTCATCTCTATTTTAAAATTGAGCTGTGGCACCTCTACAAATCCTTGCTTCCCTCTGCGAAGGGCCTATCTATTTACTTTTATGTTGAGTCATCACCCTCTTATTAAAAAGCACCCGCTTGAGAGCACCACTGTTGTTTGCATGCATTAATATTAGTTTATATTGGGTATGACTTGACTGGATATCTTTTACCATGAATTATAATGTTTAGTCAGTCCTTAATCTTTAAAGGTGCTCTGCATTTATGTTTTGCGGTCTCAGAAAGGGCTAGCGAGATACCATCTTGTCATATCATATCATGATTGTTTTGAGAAAGTGTTGTCCTCCAAGTTTTATTATTATTGCTCGCTAGCTGATTATGCCATTGATATGAGTAAACATGAGACCTAAGTGTTATTGTGAATATGGTTAGTTCATAATCTTTGCTGAAAACTTGAATACTGGCTTTACATACTTACAACAACAAGATCAAATAGAGTTTGTAAAAGTTTTTCTTTATCACTTTTAGTTTGTCAACTGAATTGCTTGAGGACAAGCGAAGGTTTAAGCTTGGGGGGGTTGTTATGTCTCCAACGTATCTACTCTTCCAAACACTTTTGCCCTTGTTTTGGACTCTAATTTGCATGATTTGAATGAAACTAACCCGGACTGACGATGTTTTCAGGAGAACTGCCATGGTGTTGTTTATTGTGCAGAAAACAAAAGTTCTCGGAATGACCTGAAAATCCATGGAGATAACTTTTGGAAAATATAAAAAATATTGGCGGTAGAATCAAGGCCAGGGGGCCCACACCCTGTCCATGAGGGTGGGGGGCTCTCCCCCTCCCCCTGGGCGCGCCCCCTATCTCGTGGGCCCCCTGATGCTCCACCGACCTCAACTCCAACTCTATATATTCTGTTTCACGGAGAAAAAAATCAGAGAAAAAGTTTCATCGCGTTTTACGATACGGAGCCGCCGCCAAGCCCTAATCTCTCTCGGGAGGGCTGATCTGGAGTCCAATCTGGGCTCCGGAGAGGGGGATTCGTCGCCGTCGTCATCATCAACCATCCTCCATCACCAATTTCATGATGCTCATCGCCGTGCGTGAGTAATTCCATTGTAGGCTGAGATTTACCATGTAATCAAGTTAGTTTTGTTAGAGTTTGATCCCTAGTATCCACTATGTTCTGAGATTGATGTTGCTATGACTTTGCTATGCTTAATGCTTGTCACTAGGGCCCGAGTGCCATGATTTCAGATCTGAACTTATTATGTTTTCATCAATATATGTGAGTTCTTGATCCTATCTTGCAAGTCTATAGTCACCTATTATGTGTTATGATCCGACAACCCCGAAGTGACAATAATCGGGATACTTCTCGATGATGACCGTAGTTTGAGGAGTTCATGTATTCACTATGTGTTAATGCTTTGGTCCGGTACTCTATTAAAAGGAGGCCTTAATATCTCTTAGTTTCCACTAGGATCCCGCAGCCATGGGAGGGTAGGACAAAAGATGTCATGCAAGTTCTTTTCCATAAGCACATATGACTATATTTGGAATACATGCCTACATTACATTGATGAACTGGAGCTAGTTCTATGTCACCCTATGTTATAGCTATTACATGAGGAATCACATCCGACATAATTATCCGTCACTGATCCAATGCCTACGAGCTTTTCACATATTGTGCTTCGCTTATTTACTTTTCCGTTGCTACTGTTACAATTAGTACAAAACTGCTATCTTTACTTTTGCCACTGTTACCATTACTATCATACTACTTTGCTGCAGATACTAAGTTATCCAGGTGTGGTTGAATTGACAACTCAACTGCTAATACTTGAGAATATTCTTTGGCTCCCCTTGTGTCGAATCAATAAATTTGGCTTGACTACTCTACCCTTGAAAGCTGTTGCGATCCCCTATACTTGTGGGTTATCAGGATGCCCCGGCTGACTTGGCTGTCGGAGGAGGGGAAGAAGATCTTTGGAGTCTGGATATGGAGCCCGAGGTACTGCTCCGCTGTGATGGAAGGTTTCGTCGTTGGAGCAGCTCCGGTGAGTTGTACGACGCCGAGGTTGAAGCAGGACAATAGAGACAACGTTAACCTGAGTGGAATTCTAATAGAATCTCCAATAGATGACATAAAATACATAACCACAAAGTGCTAGATGTAAAATACATCAGATGCTCATCTTTGAACTTAACTGTCGAAACTGAACTTAACTGTCAAAACTGAACTTAACTGACGAAACTGAATTTTGCTGTCGAAACTGAATTTTACTGTCGAAACTGAACGCACTAGAGGTGAGGCTACACATCAGTCGACTGCCTTTTTCATCTCTGGTCCGTCGATTTTGCAGCCATTGGATACGAAATCAAGGGCCTGCAGTTCATCTTCAACCTCCACCCCCTGAGCCACCAGACATCACTGGCCAAACAACCGCCCCCCGCCTCCCGTGGATGGCGGTGCGCCGCCCCGCCCGCCCAGAAAACACTCGCCACCGCCGGTCCGCCGCCGCCCCGTCCATCCCTCTAGGCCCCCCGTACCGAGCTTTTTCTCCAACAATCCCCACGCCACTGCCCCACCACCG